GTATAATTAATTTAAAAATCAATGAAAGTAATTACTTCATTAATTCTAAGGTGAATAAAAAGTAAAAAATACTTCTTCTTAAAGTCCTAAGTTTAAATCCCACTTGTGGGATCGTCGATGAGCATTGATGAGGAGTCTCATACTAAGACGAAATGGCTGTATAGTGCTTCAAGAATTCCAATAGCGGCCTAACATTGTTCTATTAATGATATCAATAAGAATACTCAACAGTCTCCACAACCTCATACTGATAATTTGTTAAAGGTTATATTTTCTTACATTACACAAATATTTTGTGTTTAAAATATTCAAGAAATTGAAATTTTCAAGTAAAAAAAGACAACATAAGAAAAGATAGATGAACATCTTAAAATCATGGGATAAACATTTAACTATGGAAATAATCAAATGACGTAATAAGTAACATGAGGACTATAAAGTAGATGTATACTGAATAAAAATCTTTAAGAATTAAATAATATCAGAAGGAGTTTTGTGGATATTATAGTCATTTCAATGGTTGAGATCATGAGTCAGTTAAAGCGCACTGCTGAGGAATCCCACAATAGGACGAAACGGCTGTCAAGTGCTTCCAGGCATTCTATGGTGGCCTAACTTCAACTGAATCACGATCTTAACCACTGAAATTAATTAATAAGTAATGATGAAGGTTTAATTGTAAAAGCTGAGAAATAACATTTTACATCAATGATGATTAGCCAAAATAGGACAAAATGCACATCCTAAATTTCACTGCTAACCACCATTCAATTTTACTTATAATACTTAGCTTAATTTTAGAATATCTCAATCATTAAGAATTAAAATGTTCATTGTTTTTGTGAATCGGCTTTCCTAGTTAGAATACACATCGTGATTTGTATACATTAGACAGTGATTTATAGTTGAGTTTTCCTAATTTTGAAAAGTAACACTATCTAAAAATTAATAAATAAACTATTTGTAAACAAGAGATTACTGGATACTTATTTTGTCAATATTTTGAATGCTTCAAAAGTTCGATTTTAGAACCTTATGGTTTAGTATCGAATACAAGGTGATTGATTTAGCTAGTAGGTATCAAATGATCTATACTTTAAATTTTAATCAGCTTATAACAAATTTCGACCCTTATTCAAACTTGTTGAATCCTGTACATCATGGATCCTTAATCTGTTTTCATTTTTGACGACTAGAAAGAATATCATAGTTTATTATTGAATAAAGGATATTTCACGATGCAAATCAATAACAGAGTCGTATGATTTTGTAAAATATACTTCAAAAATGTAGATTTGAATGATCAATAAGGTTGTCTTTTTAAAAATGTTGAAATTGGTTAATGACTGTCTGAATTAAACAATAATCATTGGTTGTTTCGTGACCTTTATGAACAGTAAAATATTCAACAACAACAACAACTAACAGGTCAATAATGAGTTACAATTAGAACACCAGTAGTCAATAATTCAAACAAAAAAGCTGTTTAATTTGCAAAATATTTTGTAATAATTATCAGTATACGGTTGGGGAGATTGTGGAATTTAGATTGATATCATGAATGGAACAATGTTAGATCACTATTGAAGACTTGGAAGTACTGGACGTTCGTTTTGTCCTAGTATGGGGTGGTCTAACATTGTTCAATTCATGATATCAATCTAAAGTCAACAATCTCCCCAATCCTATACTGATCATTATCATGTGATCACTAGTGACTGCTTTCAAGATGTATTTCTTGGAGTTCTAGTGAGAAGCCGTGACCAGTGGAGTTGAACCAGGTCTGTTGTGAGGCAGTTACTCACTGAATACGATGGTGGACGGTTATGCAATATCGTGGATTGTTTGAACTTAGATATTAACACCGCTGGATGTCGGCTCAGTGGTTTATAGATTAAGTGTCCACATTCGAGACCGAAGGTCCTGAGATTAAAGTCCCTTTGGTGCGATATCACAGATGCCTACTGCTGAGGAGTCCGATACAGGGATAAAATGGCTGTCCGGTGCTTCCAGATTTTCAATGGTGGTCTAACATTGTTCCACTCACTATATTAATTTTGTAATAACATGACACAAAACTGATATTACCATTTTATTATGCTACTTTATGAAGGAACAAAGACTGAAATTGTTAAACTCAAAGAAGAAAGTAAGACCAGTGATAAAGATTTATTTATACATCAGTCACAAATCCACGAAACCAAACTAAAGATTACAGCGTGACTAATGTTATTTTAAATAATCGACCAATAAATAAACTTAAATACATCGAACAGATAGTGATTAATAATAATTAATTTAATCTGAACTCAAATCAACTGTCAACCAATATCAAGGCCAAAATCTTCAATAGGAACATCTGCGAGTATGCACACACTTTGTCTTTCTCTAGAACATGACTCCCGAAACCCCACTATCCCTTGTTTATTTTCTCGTACCTAACCGTTTTTTACTACTACTGCCCCTACTACTCTGAGATTTATTTGGAAACAATTTTATTTTGCTATGTTAACGTGGCATTCCTACAGTTGAAGAACACATGAAACTCAAAACAGCTGTAAACCAATATCAAAGCCAAAATTCTCAATACGAACATCAAGACAGTTCTACTGTACGTAGCTGAAACTTGGAGAACTACTACAACCACTATCAAAAATGTACAAGTATTTATAAACAGCTGTCTACGCAAGATTACTCAACATACATTGGTCGGATACCATCATTAACAACCTACTGTGAGAGAAAACAAACCAACTTCCACCCGAAGGGAAAATCAGGGAAAGATGTTGAAGGTAGATAGGATGTACATTGTGGAAATCATCAAACTCCATCAAGAAGCGAACGCTTACTTTGAATCCTAAGGGAAACGAAAAAGAAGAAGACCAAAGGACGCACTGCACCGAGAAATGGAAGCAGATACGAAAAGGATGGATAACAACTAGAAACAACTTGGAAGGATCGTCCAAAACAGAGTTTGATTGAGAATGCTTGTGGACGGCGTATTCTCCTCCAGGAGGGGTAACAGGCGTAAGTGATAACTTAATGTATATAATTTACAATATCAATAAATTGACTACTCTAAATGAGAAATATGATTAAATGATAAAATTGCATATCTGTTTCTTTTTTAACACTCATAAATGATACGATGTTATTTACGATCCCATTGTGAAAATTTGCACACATTCATACCCCGTATTTTTCGAATAGTTGCATTCCGACAGATATATTCTATACTATATTATATTAATGCTTACCACAAAAATTGCCTAATTAAGCACTCGTTTTTGGCTAGATATGAAATTTGATTTATATCTTGTCAGATATGTTAAAAAATTGAACAAAGTGCTGGTTGTGTCTGTGATGATACGTGTTTTTAGTTTGATCACCAATTTCTTCTTCTTCTTCCCATTACACTAATTATTCGAAACAATTGTAGATAATTTGGTATGGTAGAATCTCACCATTCTATTATCAGTTTCTTTTAAACTCTGTAACAGGGTGATGTGCATTAGTCCAATAGAACATTGACATGTAAGAAGATTGTGAGGAAAGATGGACAAGTGTGAAACTGCTATCGTGCATCTTGAAAGTACTGCTTCAACATAACCACATGCTAAATCCGTCAATCAGAATACCCGATCATAATTTTGGAACCCTGTATTTGCTAATTCGTTTATGACCTTGAGCAATGATAATTTTTAACCAATACAATCGATATTGAGCTAACGTAAGCTACAATCCTATTGGTCGCCTATCAGAAAACTTTTTTCCAATTCCCGGCCTTGATTTCGTAAAGAAGTCTGCGGCCAAGCTTCTATGATCATTATCATATATATTTCAATCAACCAGCCAGGAAATTCTAAAACACCCATTATCTTATAGACGGGAATTACCAGAATACATAGCATACCAAATAAGAAATCATACTTTGAAGACAATCATGCCTCAAGTGGCAGAGACCGAGACAAACAGTACATAATTAATTAAGAATAATTAAGGAATAGTAAAACATGTGACGATAGTCATTTGTATATGACGATTGACATTCCGGTTTCATTACACGTGGACAGTGATGACAAGTTGAAACTTTATCGATACTATACGTCAAGCTGAAGAAAATTAATTCATTAACCCACCCACTAGGCACTTGAGCATGAGGCACACTCTAAACATGAGGGCTAATGATACTAGCCAGTTATCCAAACCGAAGTACGTGTAATTGTATTTGAACCTGGAAATTAGTGGCAATAAGTTGAACGAATTAACCGTCAAACCATTGACCGAAAGGTTAACACAGCGACCAAATTTATTCAATTACTCATCGCGACATTCAAATTATATTTCCATACCAATGTTAGTTGGTGTCACTTGGTAAACAGGGAAAAATTAATACATAATAGTTATTTCATTCTACAGTGTGCAGCAACACAAAAGTTGTGAAAATCAATAATAATAACTATTATAGTACATCAGTATGTTTTATTGCAAAAGATAATAAGGCAACACATTTACTGATAGTAAAGAAAAGAGCGAATGTAAATGACGATCCTTCTTTCAGACTGTCTTATGGAAAAATCACTCCATATATATATATATATATATATAATAACTCGGGTATATGCACAGAATCTCAAAAATGGAAAACTACTGATGATGTCCTATTACAATAAACAAAATACAAATAGACAAATTAAATAAAAACAAACACATCTGAAAACCTTCGTTGTTTATACTTATTCATTTAGGATTTATACGTAGAATTAAGCGGAACAAATGGGGATTCAGCACACGCACATCAGGGAATGATATGCGAGTAAAAAAAAATTGGGAATTCATGAACATAATACAGCTAAACACACACAAATTTCAATAATAGAAGTAAAATCTTATGTTATGACACCGTAAATCGACACAAACAATTATACATGTAAAGCAAATGTGTGCTCGTCAGACAACAGTTTATATAACTAAAAACCGAACAAATGAATAAAATCGTAGGTAGAACAAAATGTATACAAGAAAGTAAATGACAATGACAAGAAGCAGAAGTTTCTGTGGGAAAATGCTAAGAGTATAAACGGCAATATATATAAAGCATACCAACACAAAGAGATGTACATTCATTAACACACCAATGAATATCTATCGTAACATGAAACGAAAACAATTGGATAGAAAAGAAGTCTGAAAATGAAGTAACAATAGTAATAGATACAAACACACGCAGACATATTCATGTGGACAAAAACTGATTTATATAATGTTAAGAATCTGTAGACTTTTTAACTATATTAATACACCACTTCCAAGTGATATATTCCGCTTTATCATCATCGATAAACTGACTCACAATTTTGTATAAGCCACGTGATAAAACACCTTTGGGAGCTTCTTCAGGGTCCGATGTCCAGATATGAGGGTGTCCTTGAGGACGAAAATTGCCTAGCATTACGGAAATTTCATCAACTACGAAATAAAATAATAGTTAAAAGTGAAATACGGGAATAACTGTTAATATTCCATTTTTGTCAGTAGATGCAAGCGTTTATATATATATATATATATATATATATATATATATATATATATATATATATATATATACGATTTTCGTCATGTAGCCCAAGGTTCGAATATAAATTCACAGATAACAAGACCAGACTACGTTTAAACACCGTTGAGTGGAAATTTAACCGGTATAAAAATTAAATCATTAAAGGTTCATGAAATTATGAAAAACATAGTCGATAATATCGTGTTCACAACAATTCGTGAGTTTTATTTAGCTAAGGATTTGAATTTTGCATCGATTTATTTATTTTATTTAAACTTATGAACATTGATGCAAGGAGGAATCAGATATATATGCGCCACACAAACTACTTGATTTGTGTGAGGGCTGTAATACTGTCCGGGTGCCCAAACCGAGGCAAATGGTTTTCCTAGGGAGCCACACCCCGAGGTCTAATCCACAAGGAAGTGAGGCAACATTAAGAGATGCAGCCCCATGGTAGCCAGTGACCGACAACAGGTTTGTACGCTATTTGTTCCCTCAGGATCATGGAGCCCATATGCACCATTGGTTTAGAATCAGTGTTTTCCAACTCTCATAGGTGGACCCCGTGTCCACCAACTGGGTTAAAGCTCTGGACATTCGCCTTTCGTCCCCTCAGTTTAATAAACAACACCCTCACCGCAAGAAGACAGTGGGTAGGACTTCCTTGACAGTGCCTGTATACGCGTGGTCATGTGAGAACATTTTGAGAGGGAGAGCTGACTTTACCCACTTTCAGTCGTACAAGACCATTTAGGGGAACCTCGTATAAAAATTTGTCAAATGATACCAGCTTTTAGGGGTTATTCGGTTTCATTTTCAAACCAATTGACTTTTTAAACTATTAATCTGATTGAAACAAACAATGTAACTCATAAACGTTCAGTTGGAATCGCAGGAAACTACTTACCTAGAATAGGGCCTTTACGTAACCACTGCTTGAAACGTAGCCCACAAACAATATCTCTTTGTACATAGTACACAACTTGAATACGGTAACTGCAGCCTTCGACGATTGAGACAGGTTTCGACTTAAAGTTAGAGATATCACCTGAAATTCAAACACGAATAACGTTAAAAAAACACTTATCCAAAAAATTTGACTGTATGTAAGATGACGAGAAAAACAGTAAATGAGTTGATTCTTTCACTTAAAAGCTAACTTATAAAGAACAGAAAGTTTCCAACCGTTAATTCTAGACAGACAACTAGTAAATGAAGTCGAATATGCCGAAGCATATCAATTAATTCACATTTTTACGCCCCAAATAGATATAGATGTAAAAGCTGAAATAAACAGCTCCGCTTGGAACCTTTCTAAGACTACTGTCGGTCGAAAACCAAGATAAATAAGTCCGGTATGAGGTTAGCAAGCCCATCCCATAAAAAGGAACTTATCCAAAAAACGCTGATACAGACGGATATCGATTAAAGTTACCATAATTTATATCAGGAAAATGTAAAGTACTGATAAAAATTAAATCTCGATAGTAGCTAATTCCGAACTAATTTATATGACTCACTCTAGCATACTTTAACAACAATGGAATTATAGCATACTAAAGTATAACTAGCAGGAAGTAAATGATATATATATATATATATATATATATATATATATATATATATATATATATATGTCAGTCGTTAGAATTTCCTCCGTAATATAAAAATGATGAGATGGGGTTGAAATTACAGAATTTTAAAAAGTAACCACCAGTTAAATATTGGTAACTCATAGTGAGTTTTATACACAGATTAATAATCCTGGCATGATTCGAAATTGGTCTAAATGAAGCTGATTTTTGTCATTTGGAATGAACTATTTCATGCTTTTAACCGATTTGTGAGATTGCATGACCATTACTTAACGTCATTGATGATGTCCTGATCTTGATATTAGCTGAATCCTGCCATTTCATACAATTCAATGTTAAAATGAACTTGAGAAATTGATCTAAATAATTCAAGTTCTTTCCTGTCCTAACTATTACCCTAACTGCCTTTGTATAGAATCTACTACAGTATGTAGTGCAACTTTCTGAATTTTAAGCTTAGTCATTTCTTAACTTCCTTCTTTAATGTCTTAAAACATCATTTTAAACATTTTGATTGATTGGTAAACCTGAAAAATTGAGCTTGTGATTAATCACTGACCTAATGTATGTAAACAATTTGCAAAATCAATAAGCTGAGTTGACTGAGAAATACTATAATTTATTACTAAATTATGTATTTGTCTTCTTATTAACACTATTCCTTGTGAATCATATTTGCTGTTTAGCCTGCTACTATCACTTATGCTATTATTCTTACTCTTACTTTCATCCCATTAGTTTTTTTCCATTGAATCAGAGTTGTGACAATCTGTACTTACACATATGTTTGCTAGATCTTACGTAGTTTATTATCAACTGACAAATCTGGGGCTTCATAAGGCAGATCTAATTGGGCAAATTTGGCTTTAAACTTGCATAACTGCAACGACCCTTGTGAAATAAATCGATCTTGAGACGTATAATGATTAACTAGATTAGTTCCAACTAAAATAATATATCATTATGATTAAGAAGGGATGAAAGTTAGGTAACATGTGTATTGTCGCAGTTTTTGGTGAAAGACCATAATGTTTGAGATGCGTTTATCCTCCTCTGAATGTAAGTTGTCGCCCCAGAACTGACCTGCGTCAACACGAACTAAGGATAAGGAACGAAGTAGTCGAACGTGTCAACAACTCCAATTATCTTGGAAGTCTGATGGACCCTAGTGAGTTGGAGTCTGACGAAATCTCCGCACGGATTCAAAAAGCTCGTTTAGCTTTTTCCAACTAATGTCACCTTTGGCGTAGGCAAGATATCCGTCAGTCAATTAAGATACAAGTATACTGCGCGGTAGTTCATTATGTTCTACTTTACGGCTACGAAACGTGACTGTTGAAAGATGATACTCATAAGTTACTAGTATTCGATCACAGATGTCTTAGAAATATTGCTCGCATCTGCTGGGATCACCGGGTAAGTAATAGTGAGGTTAGATGCATGGTATTAGGGAATGATGGTGAATCAGTTGATGAGGTTGTGAATCTTCATCAACTGAGATGGTCGGGTCACGTGTTACGTATGCCTGAACACCGATTACCACGACGCGCAATGCTGACTGACTAGTGTTGGGGATGGTTGGAAGAAAATTAGGGGCGGCCAAACCAAAACGTGGCATCAATGCTTGAAGTCACTAACTTCTGGTTTGAGCCATATTAGTAGATGCAGATTACTTGGTTGAAGTCTGCGTGACTATCGTAACAAATGGTTGGAGACTCTGGGTGACGTGGCCCATGATTGATCACAATGACGTAGGTGTATACACTCTCTGTCTACCCTTAAACTAGGAGAGTAAAATCGCTTCATATCTTTCTTTCTACGAACTAATTCTATCTTCCTGTATAATATCCTTATATTAAATCTTTCTTTTATGTATTATTACCATTGAAGTGACCACTTCTATGAATTCGATGTTCATCTTATTGTGCTAATGAAGTGTGGCAACTTGGACCGATGCATATATGTGCCTGGTCCTACGTTGTAGCTGACTGACAGGCAGATATTTCATATTGTCTGAAGCACTTATCTTTACATATAAATCGGATGACAAAGATATTCCTGAGCACGTATCGTTGCTCACTATTTACATAAACGCTTAAATTCATTTGCTCATGACACAAGAATTTCGATACATGGTAACAAAAACTGCGCCACACAATAGAACGATAACAATCTGAAACAATAAGCAAAGGAAAGTTTGTGTTGTCGATTAGCAGATGAAGAACAGTACTTCTAAGATTTTTATTTATTTATTTATTTCAACACATAGATATTGGTACAAGGAGGCACCAAATACATATGCGCCACACAAATCTCATTTGATATGTGTGAGGGCTGTGATACTGCCCGGGTGCCCAAACCGAAGCAGACCAATGAAGCGAAAATCCTATTTAGTCTAAGTGGTGCTTCCCTTTCCAACAAGAACACAACTGGTTTCTATTTCTACTTACCCGAAGGTATCTAAGGTTACCTATTTAAGGGAAGTTAGGAACGAGTTAGCACATTAAGCAACAGCTTGCTTAATATTACACCACAGCTTTGAAGCACAGTTTATGTTAATAAAGACGTGAAATGGTTACATGTTTCTGATCATAGGTGTCTCTAAATCATTACTTGCATATCGTGGGATAACTGAGTGATTAAAGCTCATGTGAAAGTCAGGATCCTATATGAAGATGGAAAATCGGTTGTTGAGGTTGAGAGTCTCCACCAACTGAGATGAATGAAACGCCAGCCAAGTATATCTAACCACCTGTTGCATAGACGTGCTGGTGGGAACGATTTGGGGGCTAAGGGAGGTTAAACCAAAAGTTGTTATTAGCACAAGTAAAGGACTACCGGACTTAGTCGTATTGGTGGATATAGACTAACTGGCCGGGGTCTACGCGGTAACATCGACCAACGTCTGTAAGAATGAGGCAACATGGTTAGGAATAGGTTACAATGATGTCCATCCCTTTATCTATTCCTAAGTATCTGACATAAGCACTATTTTATACTTTTGTTCCCTTTAATTCACCACTTATTTCTAGATAGTTTTCTTCGGTATTTTATCTCTTTTTATAGTTGATGGTACCGTCACTTACAATCTCTAGACACATTTTGTTAATTTCATTGCACTGTGCATGTGTAGCATGGCCATACGGGCTGGCATGTCAGGCTTTATTTTGAACATGACTCACTAAAAATCATCGAAAAAATTCCATTATCAGTTTGGGTCCAAAGTATAGTTCCTAATATTTTGATTGCCTAGCTGATGTCAAGATCTAAATGTTACTTTACAATACTCAATCGAGTATACTTAAGTAACACTTTAAGGAGTATAATGGAAAAAACAAGCAGACATACCCAATAGATTGAACTCAATATTCGGTTGCCCATCAACGAGAATACAGAACTTCTCGAACACAACATTTGCGGATTTTTCTGGAACTGTGCGGAAATTAGCATATGAAGTTAAACATACAAGGAATCTTAAACGTGCCAAGAGATGGACCCAATAGTGCTTCTTTATATTTCCGCAAACTTTCGTCTTCCTTGTCTAGATTCATGATCTCTTCCAGAGTGCGTTTTTCGGGTGGTTTGTATTCAGTTTTAATATCGCTCTCCAAATCGCCTTCCTCAACAGACTGTTCTGCCATTCTTGAAAACACCACGAAAATAGTGTGACCTATAGCCTTTGGTAGATTCGCGTTTAGCTTGAAGGCACCTCGTGTTCTGTAGGAGTGTCAAGAGCAGTACGCGAGATTATCTGGATAAGAACAAGAGAAAAAGCAAGTCGATAACTCAGTAAGCAGACAGGATGCACTTAAATTCGAAAAATAAAGTATTTGACAATATTCATAAGTAACACAAACGTGAGATTAAGACAACCTGACAACCAAAACAGGAAGCTGAGAATGTAAAGTTTCAAACGTGTTACAATAGCAAATTCTGAGCGCCTAAGACCTCAAGGTGAGAAAACTCTGACGAATTAAAAGTATTGGTTAAATAACTCTCTTCTCCAGACAACTGAAGGCAAATGTAGACTTTTGACCTGACCTTGAGTTTACGGATTAAGGCTTGAATTATTATTAGTGACCATGAATGGATGCAACTCCGCCTGGAGTCTCTCCGGGGGCTACTGCCGGTCCCAAGCTCGGATACAGGAGGAGGGTTGGGCATGGGGTTAGCGTCCCCATCCCGTAGAAAACTAACTCGCTAAAAAAACGCTAACCAGAAAAAAATATTCAAACCTTTTAACCTCTACCCTGGGAGTCAGAAGGTCTTCATTTAGAAGAACTATGACACCTCATGATGAAAGCCGAATTCCTTCGGAAGTTACGAGGCCGATGCCCCTTCTGACAACCAGAGCGACCATTTATTTAGGTACATGGAATGTTCGTACAATGTGGGACACCGGGAGAGCCTTCCAAATTGCTGCAGAAATGAGAAGATACAACCTAGAGGTACTTGGGATCAGTGAAACACATTGGACGCAAGTTGGACAACAATGACTAACTTCAGGAGAGCTTCTGTTATACTCCGGCCATGAAGAAGAAAATGCCCCATATACACAAGGAGTTGCATTGATGCTGTCCAAACAAGCGCAAAATGCGCTTATAGGATGGGAATCTCATGGACCAAGGATCATCAAAGCCTCGTTCAAAACAAAAAAGGAGGGCATTTCAATGAATATCATCCAATGCTACGCGCCTACCAACGACTACAATGAAGACGCTAAAGATCAATTCTACAATAGGCTGCAGTCAATCGTCGAGAAGTGCCAAACAAAGGACCTGACCATTCTGATGGGAGATTTCAACGCCAAGGTTGGAACGGACAACACTGGATATGAATACATCATGGGACGACATGGACTGGGAGAAAGAAACGAAAATGGTGAGAGATTTGCAAACCTATGTGCCTTCAATAAACTGGTCATAGACGGCACCATATTCCCACATAAACGCATTCACAAAACCACGTGGACTTCACCGGATCACACCACGCAAAACCAAATCAACCATATTTGCATCAACAAAACGTTCAGGAGGACTATAGAGGAAGTGAGAACCAAGAGAGGAGCCGATATAGCATCAGATCATCACTTGCTGGTAGCCAAGATGAAATTGAAACTCAAGAAGCACTGGACAATGGGGCGGACAATATCACAAAAGTTCAATACGGCCTTTCTTCAGGATACTAACAAACTCAACAAATTCAAGATAGACCTCAGCAACAAGTTCCAGGCCTTTCATGATCTACTCAATGGAGAAGGAACTACTGTGGAGAGCAACTGGAAGGGGATCAAAGAGGCAATCACTTCAACATGTCATGAGGTCCTGGGTCACAAGAAGCACAATCACAAGGAATGGATCACTGTTGATACACTGAATAAGATTCAAGAAAGGAGGAACAAGAAAGCAGCAATCAATACCAGTCGAACAAGAGCAGAAAAAGCCAAGGCACAAGCTGAATACACAGTAGTAAACAAACAAGTGAAGAAGAGCATCAGAACCGACAAACGTAAATATGTGGAAGATCTAGCAAAGACGGCAGAAAAGGCTGCAAGCGAATGGAACATGAGACAACTGTATGATATAACAAAGACACTCTCTGGAAATCGGCGCAAACCAGAACGACCAGTGAAACGCAAGGAAGGCGAGGTAATCACCAACATTGAAAAGCAACAAAACAGGTGGGTAAAACACTTCAAAGAACTCTTGAATCGATCAGCTCCACTGAACCCACCCAACATCTAAGCAGCACCCACGGACCTCCCAATCAACGTTGGTCCACCAACAATTGAAGAAATCAGCATGGCCATCAGACAAATCAAGAGTGGCAAAGCAGCAGGACCGGACAACATTCCAGCAGAGGCACTAAAAGCAGACGTAGCGGCAACTACAAGGATACTCCACATTCTCTTAAATAAGATTTGGGATGAGGAACAAGTACCAAAAGACTGGAAAGAAGGACTTCTGATCAAAATACCGAAGAAAGGCGATCTCAGCAAGTGTGATAACTACAGGGGCATCACTCTTCTTTCAATACCGAGGAAAGTCTTCAACAGAGTATTGTTAAACAGGATAAAGGACTACGTAGACGCCCAACTTCGTGACCAACAGGCAGGATTCCGTAAGGATAGATCGTGTACAGACCAAATCGCAACTTTACGGATCATTGTGGAACAATCAATTGAATGGAATTCATCAATCTACATCAACTTCATTGACTACGAAAAGACATTTGATAGCGTGGACAGAACAACACTATGGAAGCTTCTTCGACACTACGGCGTGCCTCAGAAGATAGCCAATATCATACAGAGTTCATATGATGGATTACACTGCAAAATCGTGCATGGAGGACAGTTGACAAAGTCGTTCGAAGTGAAGACCGGTGTTAGGCAAGGTTGTTTACTCTCAGCCTTTCTCTTTCTCCTGGTGATCGACTGGATCATGAAGACGTCAACATCTGAAGGGAAGCACGGGATACAATGAACATCTAGGGTGCAGTTGGACGATCTGGACTTCGCAGATGATCTGGCCCTTCTATCCCAAACGCAACAACAAATGCAGGAGAAGACGAACAGTGTAGTGGCAGCCTCAGCAGTAATAGGTCTCAATATACACAAAGGGAAAAGCAAGGTTCTCCGATACAACACAGCATGCACCGATCCAATCACAATTGACAGAGAAGATTTGGAAGACGTAAAAACCTTTACATATTTGGGCGGCATCATGAATAGGGTGGATCTGATGCAGATGTGAAGGCGCGGATCGGCAAAGCAAGAGTAGTATATTTACAACTGAGGAACATCTGGAACTCAAAGCAACTGTCAACCAACACCAAGATCAGGATTTTCAACACAAACGTCAATACAGTTATACTGTATGGGGCGGAAACCTGGAGAACTACGAAAGCCATCATCCAGAAGATACAGGTGTTTATTAACAGTTGTCTACGCAAAATACTTCAGATCCGTTGGCCGGACACTATTAGCAATAACGTACTGTGATAGAGAACAAACCAGATCCCAGCGGAGGAAGAAATCAGGAAGAAGCGCTGGAAGTGGATAGGACACACATTGAGAAAAGCACCCAACTGCGTCACAAGACAAGCCCTCACATGGAATCCTCAAGGCCAAAGGAGGAGAGGAAGACCAAAGAACACATTACGCCGAGAAATGGAAATAGACATGAAAAAGATGGTCAAGAATTGGATGGAATTAGAAAAGAAGGCCCAGGACAGAGTGGGTTGGAGAATGCTGGTCGGCGGCCTATGCTCCATTGTGAGTAACAGGCTTAAGTAAGTAAGTAAGTATGAATGGACGCAATGTGTGTACTCATATTAGGTTACTTTAATGCCCAAGTATGTAGCTTAAACCAAACGGAAAGGCATTTTGGTGGGTATTTTGGTATTCCAGCTTGATGGACAGTTCTTAGTAACCGTTTGCTGCAACTGTGTCAGACAATCGTTTATTTTAGCAAGCACTGATTTTAAGCATAAGGAGAGACATCGTCTGACATGGATACCCCCTGCGCCAAATCAACGATGGACCCTAATAGACCATATTGCCATCAGTCGTTGTTGGATGGTCTCGGTAGAAAACTGTCTCTCGTTCTAGAATACATGTTTAGACTCTGACCATAACCTAATACGAGGACACATTTGCTTACGTCTCACTGGACGAAGAAAACCACATTAAGAAGACCCATTAGAGTTTACCTCAACGATAAGAAAGTAAAAGGTAAATTCGAGGAACAAATGAAGTCACACTTAAGCGATTTCGAAAACGAGGCTAACCAAGGTGTTGCTTGGAAAGATATTCAAACGTCCGTAGAAACAGCAGCAACATCTATTAGTTATTTAAATCAAACGGTTACGAAAAATCAGTGGATTTCTGATAAGTTTTGAAGAAATAGATATATTTTTGTAAAACGCACTAAAAACTCGTGACTCAAATATCCGTATTCGACCAGATTGGCCGCTTGAGGATCGAATCAAGTGGAAGAATGCTCTTACTGAATTGAGAACTCGCAAGTTAAATGACGAAAATAACCATACTATTAAGGGTTTTCGGGCAGTCAGGTCTTGGAAACCAATGCTTCTGAGGCCTGTATAAACAGAATGATTGATTGCCAAAACACCTTAAGTGTGTGTTACACGAACGCCCGTAGTCTTAGAAATAAAACATCCGAGCTAAGTCTGATGGTGGAAGAATTATGTCCCGATATAATCGTTGTTACAGAAACTTGTTTCACCGTAGATATAGACTGTTCTCCCATCACTGCAGGCTATATCTGTATTAGAAGTGATGGAGTTTCAAGTCGCAAAGGGGGAGGTATAATGTTATACGTTAGGGATCACTTTCGTATACAATCAACCATATCGGAGGCTCATATCAGTGGCACATGTGAGGTTGCATGTTGTAAGATTAAGTCTAGAAATGGGTTAGTGGCTATCGGGGTAATATTCCGTAGTCCGTTTTGTCTTGCTGATGACTTTATCCTAAGGCACATCTGTTCTTGGAGTATGACAGAATGTTGTCTCATCATTGAGGACTTCAACGCACCGCATATCAACTGGATAGAGCTTACAGCTTCAGGTAGTGGTTTCGATGGCGACCTTTTATCTACCGTTATTCAGTGTGCAC